CCATGCAGTTTTGAACAGGAAGACATACCAGCTGTTCTTCGCTGTCCTGGGGGTTGGACCTAGTGGTGCATACACCTAGTTTTGCACAGGTCAAGGACATGGCCACTGAGCTGTAGCCATCACCTCCTCTTTGGACTGTTATTTGAGACAGTCTCACTAAATTGCCCAGGCAGGCAGTTGCTTTATTCTTGGAATCTCCTGCTTTCTTCTCCCTGTTATCTCGGATTACAGGTTTACTCCATCAGGCCTCCTATGCTAGCTGCTGCTTGATGCCTCTGACGGACAGAAAAGTCGTTATGCCCACCCTCTGCATGCATGAAAACAGTTACCAGATGATGTGGCTGGTAGCTTCCAACAGCCCTGGGATGGCCGAATGCAAGAAGTCTTTATTTGGGGTCCCTAAAGTCTCCTTATATCTTCTGTTCACATGGTGAATACTTCACAAGTAAAGTTCCCCAAGGGCATCCTGTGCATTAGAAAGAATATATTAATAGTTATTAATAATATATTCCTTATATAATAATATAATATTATTAAATAATATATTGTTATAATAACCATTGTATTACTATAACTATTAATATATTAATAGTTATTGTTATTAATGATAAATATATTAATATTTATAGCAAATATGCTGATTGACAATGATTAAACGAAATTATTTAAGGTGGGAGCTTAGACTTCCCTGGCCCCAAGATAACCTAAGAGCCACATGGATCCCACAGCCACCTCTGCCTATCACTGCCATAAGCCAGGCCCCATGAGAAAGAGTCCACGGCAGCAGGGAAGAGGGCTCCTGGCTCTGGGCAGCAGGCAGAGTTCATGCATTCATGGCTTGACCAGGCTTTATTTCCTTGGGGAGTTCACCATCTCTTAATCACAAAAGCAATAACGATTTCTAGTTTGTTCCTTTGCTGTGCCTAATCAGTTATTCCAGCTGCCAGTCACCATCCCTGTCTGGAAGTTTACTGAAAAGCCCCCTTCGAGCTTTGGAGACAGCCCTGACCCCCAAGGTGACACCAACAATGAAAGCTGCCCCCAGGGGCAGTCTGTGTCTGGTTGATTTGGTCACAGCAGTTTTGTTAATACTATGCTGTGTTCTGGACAGGGGATCCATTTTCTTCTTTTGGCTTTGATCAATAGGCCACATTGTACACTCCACTGGTTGAGTTGTGGAAGTCATTTTGAGTAAGTATGGAAATATTTTTTTTCCTTTTGTGAATAACCTCATAGTTCCACTCCAGCATGGAGATTTTCTTCCTAAGATTGGAAATCCCTTGGCAAAGCCTGCGTGTTTGTCACTAAGTAAGCATATGCTGAAGCAGGCAGGTCTGTGAGAAGCCGGCAGGTATTGAAACGTAAAACATTAAGAAAGATTTAGCACCTGCCTTATGCAAAGAAAGTGCTGGAATGTTGTATGCAAATGAATAAAGGAATAATACTTGGAGACTGTATCTTAGATGTATCGTTTGATAAGGTGAGACATCCCTGAAGTCACTGTGGATAGCAGGCATTTTCTGGGACACAATGGCAGTTTCTGAGACTTGGGGTCTTTGTTAGAGGCCAAGATTAGTTAGTCCTACTGCAGCCATAGCTAAGTGACTTCAGAGAGTTGTCCTTTGTATGTGTACAGAAAGTCATGCTTGTGTCTCTTATTGCTTATCCTCAATTTCATTTCATTCGTATGGTCATAAGTAATATCTACAACTAGCAATTATACCCTGGACTCTGCAGGCAGATTGTTCTGTATAGACATTGACAATAAATTTCTTTCAGAAGTCATGATCTCTCTATAATTCTCTTAAAATCTCTATAATTTTCATCCCATGTCCTATAACAGAAGTTATAGGCTTTCTTTTGCAGAAAAGTGATCGATTATGTCCTATGTAAGAAACTGTTCAAATTTCAGATTCAAACTTTGAATTGAAATGCGAATCCCCATCTTTCTTCTTCTCATGGTGTCCCTGGCAGAGTCCTTTTCCCTGTTTCAGTATTATAAATCAGCTATAACTATATAGGGAAGGTCTGTGGATGGATGTTTGACCTCGGAGCATGTGGAAGACCCAGTCCTTAGCCTTCGGCTGTATGCCAGTCCCCTCAGATACCTTACCCTGCACACCCTCTCCACCACTCACCCCTCTGGCCATTGTAGTGTACTACATATAGCTTGGACAGTCCTTTCCTTAGCTGTACCAACCTATGCCTGGCTTTCTGCCCCAGGACTCCTGGCTTCTGCAACATGTGTCTGATTACAAATCTGAGAGAATTAACACTTCCCTGGGGCAACCTTTGATCAGAAAGGAGATTGTTGGGTAAATTTTCTACCTCTATGCTAGAGCCCCAAGATAGATGTTATTGGTGTTTAGACTGTTTGTCTTTATTCATTAAAAAAGCAAACATGAACTGATGCAGTTGGTACATAGCAGATACTAAACATGTCTTGTTTCATAGTTTATCCCAGGACCAAGTTTTGTGTTTGCCATATGGTAGCTACTTCACAAATATTTGTGGAATGATTGGCACCTTAGAGAGAAATATGAGAAGAGGCCAGGGCTGTAGCTCTTTGCTAAATCACTTTCCTAACATACGTAATGTTCCAGGTTCAGTCCCCAGCAGGAAGAGGGAGAAGAGGATGAAAATACTAAATAAGTATTTCACGGTAGAGAACTTAGCAAAAGTACTAAAGTATGAACTGTTGTAATAAATTTGGATGCGGTCACTCACCCGGTTGCGTAGAGCCACAAATGAATGTGTTAAAGTGTTGGAACACTGTTAAGAGGTCAGCATTAGTAAACCCTGGTATTTTGGTAGAATTAATGCATACAGGCATTTCTCCATTTTCAAGCTGAAACCTACTCAAGAGCAGCAGTACAGAAATAATACAATTGTGTGTGTATGTGTGTGTGTGTATTAGATTCATCATTTCAAATAATGTTGGATGGATAGATGATGGAATGATAGGTGCTTGGTTGTGACATGGCTAAGAGGATAGTTCCTCAGCAACTCCTCACTTTCAGTGACAGGCTATAAATGGCACCTTCTCATCCAGCTCATTTAATTGTAGCTAATGTGAAAGCCAACAGAAGCAGTTACTGTAGACCTTTGGGAAACACCATATTTTCTGCTGAACCATGCGGTAAAGCATAGCATGAGCATCCAAGTTTCCCTATTGCCCACTGGGTTGCGAGCAGCCAGGGCAGTGCTTCCCTTGTGATAAACATAAACACATACAAACAAAAATACCTCTGGGGGTAAATAAGTGAAGGGTACATTCAGCACCAATTACAAAATAAATGAGAGCTCTTGTTTCTATACTTACAGCATGATTTTTTTTAAGGTAGCTGTGTTTTCACGGTGTCTCTGTGACCTATTATTCCTTTAGTTTTTAGAACAGTATATAAAACCCAAGCTCCATGCTGACAAACACCAATATTGAAACTATTGCTACATTCAATCCAAACAGCCATCTCCCTTGGGCCACATTATTATTTGGAATACAAGCAGAATTGTGGTTCCCTGAGCCAGCAGGGCATAAATGAGGCCAGTGATTCATAAGGTGACTCCGGTGGGTTTGGAAATGTGCAGCTTACATGGAGGCTGACGCGCACAAGAGAAGCTCGGGGTTGACTTTTTGAACTAGTAAGCACTTCCTGGCCTCGCTACCACTTTGGGACTTGGAGGACTCTGGAAAGGTGAAGGTTTCTGAGGACAGGAGTGAACCTGACAGAATGCTGATTTACCAGAAATAAACCCTTCAGATGAGATCACACGCATGTCAGTAGCTTTTTGAGCGGGAAGATGGTAATTCTGCCTCTTCACATGCTCCCCTAAGTCCTTGAACTCTTATTCCATTGGATTAGTCTTTTGGGGGCTGGGTCACCTGGGGTCTCAATTCCACCCTGGTGAGGTTGGATGAAAGTGATATTGGTCTAAAAATACAATTCCCTGAACTTTTAAACCTTCAAATCTTTTTGATAATATGACTTTCTTAATCTTGAACTTGATTTCTTTAATTAAAAAGAATCCATTTGTTCTTTGATATTAGTAAAGTTCAGAAGGAGCAGAAATGGGCATAGAGCAGAGAAAGAAGTGAGGGAGAGTGGGTAATGGTAGCACCTGGTTGCAGCCTAATAAGATGTCTGCCAAGGAGGTCCCCACACTAAGGTCCTTCCCCTCTGAGAGACTTTGAAAGTGACAAGCCCTGGTTATCAGGTGACATGGTACCAATTAGCTGATGTAAATGGGCACATGGGCAAGTTTGAGGTCACATACAGTTCTCAAAGGGGAAGCTGCCCCAAGAACAGGGCTGTGACTCCCCATCAGTGTGTGATTGGCCGTGATGGGGAAAGAACCCAGAGCTGTGTGTGAGGGACCACCTTTTCCTATTTCGTCATCTTGGATAAGGACTTCTTTGGAATAAAAACAGTAATAGTCATCACACCATGAAAGAACTGCTTGAGCCTGCTGGGCTCTTAGTTAAGAGGGTATGGGCACCCTATGTTGAGACTTGCAGTTACGCAGGTTCTGTTATCGTTACACTGACTGCAGGGGCCTGACCCACAGTGTCTAGCTACACAGTGAGAAGAGGCAGAAGGCCTGTTTTGTGCCCCTTGCATACCATCATACGACCGTCGTCTTCCAGTGCTAAGGAGCACAAACACAGGAACGTCTGCATAGACGCACACAGCACACGATGGGGTAATTGTAAGGACCGGGGAGGGAGCTGTCAGGGCACACAGCACTTCCCAGACAAAGGTGAGCCTGGAGCAAGGTCAGCTGGAGCTCTGGAGATGGGGGTGAAGGCCCGAGAGTCCAGGAACCTGTTCCACCATGGAAACAAAAGCTGTGTGTATCCACGAAGGGGAGAGAGAGCTGTTCCCTAAAAGGCTCTCAGAGAAAAACAAACAAGCCCCTGAAATATGCTCGCTGTCAGCCTTGGTGTTTAAATGTGGCCTCCTTCAGGGCACCGTCTCATGCCGCCTCTCTCTTCATTCCAGCTCCCATTTTCTCCAGCAATCACTCAAGCCGAAATGGAACAGCTGCTGGGGCCGTGCCACCCCCACATCCTGTCAGTCACCCCTCGCCGGGACATAATGTACAGGGGAGCCCCCACAACCCCTCCTCCCAGTTACCTCCGCTCACAGCTGTGGACGCAGGCACTGAGAGGTAAGGCCATCTGTCTCTCTCTCATAATAGGTGTTGCCGCCAAGCCTCCCTCCACAGAGAAGAGCTCTGACAGTTGCTGAATTTTATTAATAATCCGTTGGTGGGTTGAGTTACCCAGGGGTGACATTTTAAAAGTAACATACACAAAGCATGCGGACCAAATATCTCATTATCTGTTGCATTTTGTTTTTTTAAAACAAATCAAATGGTACTGGCAATCAACAAGTGTCAGGAGCTTGAAGCTGTATCCCAGCGTCCCATCCTTGCCATTTCACCTTGGTCTGGGACTCAGTTTTCAGCAAGTTGAGGGGCTCTCCGGGTACCCACGGGACCATAGTCACGTGGAGAGTAACACAGCTTTGTGTGCTCAGCAGCCTTCCATTATTGGCAAAATGGCTGAAAGACAGTAAGCGTCCAAATTGGTTTTGACCCATGATTTCGGTGATTTCACCCCATGGTCACTGGGCCTTGCTTTGGGCTCATCAGGGTGGGAGTTTGTGGCAGAGGGGGTCTGTTCACCTCACGGTGGCTAGGCAGCAAAGGGAGAGCCAGGAACGGATTACGTTCTCCCGTTCCCCTTCAAGAGCATGTCCCCCAACAAGCCAACTTCCTTTCACTGGACTCCACTCCCTCAGAGTTGCATTTTCCTCCCAAGGAGCCCTCCAGGGTGGTGCCCAAGCAATGTCTCCACACACAGGCCATGGGCACTTGTTCAAGATCCAAACTGCAGCACCTTGGGAGAAGATGATAAAGTGACAGAAAATGTTACAGACAATCAGGAAGTCACTGTCCACTCAATACTTTTGGTTGGTATCGCCCTCAGAAAGCATTTCTATGGGGAAATCCCTAAATAACTGTATGTTCCTTTTGTATTTCTGAATTCTCCCCTGGATTTAGAGATTTGAGGGATAGAGGTGGGTTCTCATACCTCGGCTCCCCAGATGAATCTGTGTGAACCACAAAGCCAGTTTCTCAGTGAGTGAAAGGTGTGGTACCATAGGCATTGAGAGAAAAGGAAGTTTTCTCCACACAGGTAGAAGGGAACGGAGTCTCAGACAGTGGGGGCATCTGAGCGATGAGCAGGAGGAGAGGGCACAAAGCGGGCAAACAGGCCCTGACAGGCACTCGGGAGAGCAGCGCGCACATGGATGACGACTGGGTGATAGTAGTCGGCTGGCTTCTGTGGACCATGTGCTATAACTGAGGAGTTGCCCTTGTCCTGCTGGAAGCAAGTAACCATTGTGAGAAGAAACATGCAAGGAGGCTGACACGGTAGAGGAAGGACTCTGTGTGAGAAAGCCATTGGCAGTTGGAATGAGCGATGGGGAGGATACAGAGTGAAGCTATTTCAGGGTTCCTTGTGAACAACATGATGCCTTGAAGTAAGACAGAGAAGTAAGGAGAAGGCACTCAAGAGCTTTATCAGGAAGCAGAATTGCCAAAGGATAAACCAGAGGAACCAACTCAAGGTATAAAACTGTGCCTTTAACAAAATTTGAGAAGTAAAAAAAAAAAAAGAGAGAGAGAGAAGGAATAATAAATTGAGTTTCAGAGCATGAATTTTACGAGATAGTAAAAGATCCACATGGATGTATGTGATAATTAGATATGTAGATTTGAAGGTAAGAATTATTTTAACATCGTGTGTACATGGTAAATGTAGCCTCTCCTGGAAGGAACTGTCAGCGACACCATGTCCGTGGTCGCCACCCATTAAGTTCATGGTCACTGGAAACAGGAAATCTATTCTCCAGTTACCTGAGCTTATCTCTTGTATTGTTTTTACAGTTTCCCAATGGACTGAAAATGGTGTTCACCATTGCACACATTAGCTCAAACCAGGCTGGTTAGACAGACACAGGCTACCTTGGTATGCCCGAGCGATTAGGGTTGGAAGCTAGAGAATGTTCATTCAGTGATCACAGTGATCCATAAGTCACACTGGAAGGAGGGAGGGAGGAAGAAGGGTCAGGACCCACTAGCTCTATGGGAATGAATGAAGTAGATGTTTGCACTGTTTTAGGTTTATAGTATCTGCTGCATGTCCTTGCCACAGCATGTGTATTCTGACCCCACACCTGACTGACTGGGCAAATGTGAGTGGTGGGTTATCTCTTCCAGTCAGGTTGGAGAAGAGGATGACATGAAGGAGCCCTGAATTACTCACTGTGTTTGCGCTAGGGACCAGGATGGAAACACAAAGAGGAAACAGGCTTGCCTTCCGCTCCAGGTTTATACATCTTTGCTCTGTTTGCCTGGGAAACCCCCCAGTAAAAACTCCAGCAGCTTTCTTAACGGAAACAGGTTGATCACACTTTGCGATTTTAGTGGGGCATTGGCCTCTTTTCCTGCTATGCAGGCACTGATTCATCATTTACTTAGCTTTAGCTCATTAATAAAATGGGCTGAGTCACTGTCAGAAGTGAGAAGAGGCCCACAGCAGCTGCCCACCTAACATCAAGCTCTTTGATCCTGACCATCATAAAATAAATGTAAGTTCCCTCAATGTGATGAGAGTCTATTTTTATTTTTAAATACTAACTGAATGACACATAATTTCTGGGACTTGAGCAGTGCCATAACACATCTCCTGATGTTGATCTGAACTCCTTAAGGGAAGTGGCCTTTTACTATGTCATGGTGTATGAGCCACCACCGGTACTTTATGTGTGTGACAGTGGCTTCCTTTGAGAGGAACTCAGTGTCTTTGGAAATGTTAATTCTTTGGGCATTCTAGTATGTCAGTTACACCAACAAAACACAAAACTATTTATGGGTGGCCATTTTGAAATGGAAAAATCTTTGTAGCCTCAGTTTGTATCTCTCATCTTTGCAAGAGAATGTCAGCTGCCTCTCTTCCTTCTCAAGGCCACAAGCATGGTACACTCTGTAATACTAGTGACAGGGATGGGAACTGTGGACTCCCCACAAAGGGAGGGACTGACTAAAGATCTCCTGAACCCCACCTTTGAGACCTAGAAGACTGATTGCAACAAAAGAAAGGATTGGATCTCTTTGCAGAATGTGTAGTCTGGCACAGGAACTAAGACCAGAAAACACTAGGAATCATTGTTTTGGAAAAAGTAGTTAAATTGCCTTTACCAAATAAAGAATGCCAATTTCTCGAGTCCCTACTGAGTACCAGAACACCTCACGGCTTCTTTTATAATGTGTTACTTCAGATGTGGCATTGCTAGAATTCTAGGCACTTGGATATATATGAGGGCTTGTATGTCTCTGACCAACCAAAGCTAATCGTCATAGGGGCCATGTTCTAACTCATTACTAGGAACTTGGTACTATCTGCCTAGATGCTGAGGTCAAAGAGTCGCCATTTCTCAGCACTGTTTCTGCAATTAGTAAAGCCAGCCTGTTCACTACTTCTCCCTTAGTTGCTCGTGGCCATGCCTTAACTTAGCCTCTCCAGTTATTATTTGCAGCCTTCAGTGCTCAGCTCAGAAACCCTGCCCCTCTCTCAGGTCAGCGGCTGACACCCCTGTGGAACCCCTTGGTTCTTAGGATCTGTTACATCTGTATAACATCTATATACATCTGTATCTGTCAGCTAGAGCTGAGTTCGATACTGGAGGGCAGAGGCCCTGTTTCCTCATAACCTTCAGAATATCTTGCTCTGAGTTACGTGATGGCACATGTTGAGGAAGCTTTAACAAGGGATAAGGAGCATTGAGGAGAACGTCCGGGAAACCGGAAGGCGTTGCCCGCCCACTGTCCCCGTGGAAGATTCCCATAGTTTTCTCTTTGATTTTTGTTTGTTTTGTTTTTGTCAGAGGACAGTGGTCTTGATTCTCAATGCTTCTGCCATTGTCTACCTCTTGCAAACTTTGATGTAATACCTAGATGCCAGTCTACCACACATGGGCACACACCAAGAGGTATGGTACTTTTATAGCCATGGTAACGTGGTCTCTTATTTGCATATGTAACGTCAAAATACCTCAAAACTAGGCCTGTTGCTTTCCCATTCTTGCTCCTGAGCAAACAAGGATCCTGGCATCTTCTTCTACACAGCTTTTTTCTTAGCCTCACATGCATTAGACATAATCTTCCCTCTCTCTTCTTAATCTCCTAGTATATGTTCAGTTACCATAAAAATGTAACAAGATGTTAAAGCTTATCAGGATCTCTCCTAGCCCTAGGGGCTTCGTGGTTCGTCGAGCCTTTTATTGGGCTGGTATTTATGAAGCATGAGATAGGCTGGACCCTGAGGACACCATGGGACAGATGATAAATTAGAGCGGTGCCTTCTCTGAGCATGGAGTCTCATGGGGCAGCCAAGCCAGTGGGCCACAGTAACTTAGCAGACGAGGAAAAGGCGATGCAGGGGCTTTGAAGGCACAGAGCAAGAGCATCTGTTCTCAGAATGAGGGAGGAAGCATTGGAAGAAGCCTGGCCCCCCGAAAGCTGGTAGTGTGTAGGCAGTAAGGTGTATGCAGATGTCAGGAGGGAAGACAGCAGACATGGGCGGGGCTGCGCATGTAACTGAGAGGAACCCCATGTTAGCCACAGGGAGGTGAGGAGTTTCTCCTTCCTCTTGAGAACAAGCATTTGTTTGTCTGGCCAGTAGGAAACCATGGTGACTATAGCATTCCATCTAAATGTGTCTGATGTTCACCCACACCAGCATATCTTCCAGAAGTGACAGGGGATGGGAACGTGTTTCACTTGGTCCTCAGTCAGACAAAGGCCGTCCTCTGTAACTCTTAGACTAATAAGCCACCACTGTGGGGTTGTATTATTTATTTCCTAGTATAATTTGAAAAGATCATTTTTGTTCTTTGCTATTCCAGCTTTCATCCTTCACGGTTATGGCTTATCAGGTCTTTGAAGAGTCCCTGAGTGTCAAAAAAAAAAAAAAATTGAAAATCCTCTCTGTGTTAGCGAGAGAGTAACAAAGGTCTAGGAATCAGCGGCACTGGTTGGCCTCACTTGTCTGCTGTATTAGAGGGGGGCTGACTTCTGCTAAGGGCTCTCCACAGGAC